ATTGAATCGCTTATTTCAAACACTGTTAAAATATGTAATTATAAAATGTTAAAAGATGCTAATCTTAATGAAATACAAACTATCAATATTTACACTAATACACATGTACATATGTAACGGAAATATCTTTATGCAGAAAAAATAATTGGAAATTTGGAAAATTGTCTGCATTAAATTGGACTTGATAACAAAATGTAAGAAATTGAGTTATCAGTATTCTTGAAACTTAAACATTACTCTTAAATTTGAGGAGTTAAAATTTGTTACTTATGGTCGATTAAGAATTGTTTGTGATGAATAGACGAAGTGTTTTACATGCTTAACACAGAAGTCTTATTACTCATTCTTTATGATTGACCAGATTGCGACTTTACATTTTCTTTAAATATATCTTACACAGGTGCGAAACGTGTTTCAGAACATCACAATACGTCAAAAAATATCTGACAATTTCTTCAGAGATAACATTTAGAAAACGTAACTCAATACCAATTACATTCCTCCTTCTCTCTTTTCAAACAAATAAATAAGACCTGGAATCATTCACAATGATACTGTTTTAGTAGGTGCTTAGTTTTCTCTGAATTCGGAATTTAAAATTTCGTTTAAGCTGCTATTCAGGAAAAATATACAGAAGTTTTAATAATTTTTTTCATTATTTCTATTCATGTTTTGATTATTTTATGATGAAAACTTAAAATAATATCAGAAAAAAAACAGGTGCAGGGATATCTGATTAAAAGTTAAAAAGATCCATCTCCCAACTTACATGGAGGGCAAAGACCCCGATCGGAACCAGAGTTAATTACTCTGTACGCTGGTCTATTGATAGCGTTGACCATTGATACTCCCACTCAAAGGTGCCTGAGGACATGCATGGACATCGAAGGATGAAGAGAGCTGTAATTAGCCGAAGAAGGAGGAGTTAGCCAAAGAGGGTTCAAGGTCCAATGAAAGCGATAGTGAAAGTAGAGGTGTCCGGACCGGCTTGGTCGCGGAGAAAGCAATGGCGTGTATACCTTACGTCTGTTTATATCTTCGTTCCGTCAATAACATCTGCCGATTAGTAATACCTCTCTGATCATTATTACTGTCAGTAATATAGTTCCTCTAATATAAATCATAATAGCTAACGGCTAGTTTTATAATAGACTAATGATTTGCGTAACCTACGCGGACTTCTGTTACGTAACTGTTTTCTTCAATCTTCACCAGTGATTTGCAAACCATAAATGAACCCACAACTTCGAAATATTTGAAATTCATCGCTCATGCTCAGTACGCTTACATAAATTATATTATGGTAGAATGCATTGCTGGCGGATCGCAATTCCATTGCTGTTTAAAATTCAGAGAGCATTTATTGAAACGATCATAAGAGTTTATTATATTTGGTGCGAAAATATTATGCTATATCTTTTCATCATCCAGTAGAGGGGTTTGCAATTTATGTTATGCACATTTCATAAGGTGCTCTGCATTTATTTCCTGAGGCTGACGAGTTTCCATTGCTATGAGATCTATGATGTTTGGCATTTCAACTCCACATGTTTTTATTTTAATTTTAATGTGTGTATCTATATAAAATGTATACTATATGTTTCATACATTCGGCCTTTCAGTTTCAGATTAGTTGATATCCTTCATACGAGTGGCCCTGATAAAGGCCGAAACGTCTGCACAAAACATATTTTATTTTTATTTTTATAGCTCTTCGTGACTGCAACCCTGAACGAACTTCCCTAACATATTATCTATAAAATATACAATCCAGCTCATTCGCTTTATTGTATATTATTAGCTTCGAAATCGTCAAACACGATAATATATTAGCGTTAGAAATATATTAGTGTAAATGATATTGTACCCGAGCGCCGCATTGCGGTGATTATTAAAAACAGATGTGATAAAAGATCTAAAAGATATGCCCTAGCTACAAGCTGCTTTCTGCCGATTCCAACCTAAGATTTAGCATAGAGAACACCCAAGACCAGACTAGAGGGCGTCCTCTCAGCTAAGTAAGATATCTATACCAGCATAAAAGGATTAGTTTTATTTGCACAATTCATAACCTACCACTTTTAAACAAAATACTGTCCATTGTCAAAATAATGTCGAATGTTGATAAAGTCGAATTCATTAGTGATATCTGCCTTGTTAGTTACGTTTAAAAAATTTATTGAACCGTTGACGAAATTGGTAAAAATTGTCTCTTTTTGACCATAATTCGGATCGAATTTATGATATCATTTTCCTATTAAACAAAAAATTCAATGTTCTTCAATTCTTGTAATAGTAGCTTTTTCGCTCATAAACACAGTTTTGGAGTTATATACCAATAACTGAAATAAAATCAGTTCATTTCGTGTTTTTTTATGTTCTGGTAATTGGCGACACGTTATTGGCAGTGCATGTAAATACTTGACAATTTATATAATTTTGAGTTATACAATTTTTATTCAGTGTAAAATAAGTCACTCTGGTGAGCCTTACTTGCATATTGATTAGTGCCCAAACACGTCGATTGGCGTTTAGTTGACTTTCATTGCAACTAGTTTTCAAGTCTATAGCACATGGTTTTTTAGCATATAACACCTAGCTATTAAAATATTTTCTTTGTTTTAATTATCTCATCTTCGAGGATATAATTGTCTGAAATTAGTGAAACAGTGTAAAATAAATCTTTTTTTTTTTATGTAGGCTTTCTGGACTATTATAGATAAATAAAAAATATATATATAATTTTTTATCCAGTATTCTAACAGTTGCCTTTTCTTTTATTTGTTTAAAAAAATGAATTATAATTAATATGTTTAAGGATTGTTTAAAGAATAATTTTTCCTCAGTAAATATTTAGAAGAAAATCCTTCCATAAAAACTATCTCCTTTTATGGTGAATTCCAGGTAACACTATTCGTGAAAGGGATTACTTCCTGGATATGATTGCGGTGTCCAACAATTTCTTTTTTAATGACAGCTTCTGGGTGGCCCCTTTTCGGAGTTATAATTGAGTTCGTATGTAATTCGGAAAGAAAAGTGTTATCACACTAACCATATTCGTAATTATGCAAAATCTCTTGTAGACCATATACCTTTAAGAATATCGAATATATGTTATATTTTTCCGCTGAAGAAACGGAATATTTTGTGTGTTGATGCCTTTTAAAAAGCTTTTGAACTGATAAAAATGTAATAAAAAAAAAGGGCTATAACCGTACTTCTTAATAGCGGAATAATGCCATAATTAAATAATTATTTATTGTCTATAATTATATTCTAATCTTATTTAATATTCCACACTACATATTGATTTAAGTTACAAATAAATAGAAATTTTAGTTATACATCTACAAGTAAATTAATGTTGATATGTGGTTAAATTGTTTTCAAAAAATTTACTTCCTAGTTGGACTTGGATCGATCAATTGCTTATTTGTTAAGAGCTCGCGAGCGTTATAATATTTTATTTTCTTAACATAATTTGTAGAGTCTTGTAGATCTATTAACCCCTTATATTTTTTCCTTTGCTTAATGTTAGCGAGTCTCAATATTTATTCGCTCTTTAATAAATGCATCATATTGCTGGAATTATGGATAGCGATTATTTTGCTCCTAGTTATCCACTTGTAGTCATTTTCACTTTGATAGTGTTCACAGACCTGTTGAGTTTAGAAAATATATATCATCTTACAATTTACTCAATATTAGTGTACCATTATAAGAATTTATTGTATACTCTATTATAAGCACATTTTCTGCTAAGTTTCTATGTTGTGACATTTCAAATGACAAAGATATGGATATAACTTTTCCCTTTATGGACCTTTCAGATCACAATGGGCTGCAGGAAGATGTAAGAAAAATTTCATAATACTTTCATCATAATTTTAGAAGTTTAGTAAATGGTTATTAATTGGCAAACACATGTTACTATTTACTTTAAAAGTTTCAATGTAGTTAACTATCGACATTTTCATTTGTATTGCATTAAGTAATACAAGATAACATGATTTTGAATTATAATCAATAAAAACTAGATTAAATTATAGAATTCAATTTGAAAACTAGTGTTCTGGTTAAGGATAGTATATTATTATTAGTTTTCAGTTATGGCCGTTATATTCTATTGTAGTATTTTTTTATTTAAATTATCGAAAAAAGAGTGACGACTCTCTTAATCTTCTGTTAACATTTCGTTTAAGGTTTATGATATGTTTAATATTCGCTTGATAGATTGCACTCTTGTAACAAGTGTTTGACTGTTCGTTAAATGTTACAGTTTTGGTATATGAATGTTTCGAGATCTCTGAGAAGGTATCCATTTGCAAAAGAATAGTTTCCATATGATGTGAGTATTGACACTCCTGTATATTTTCATGACACTGTCTTGCGGCACACCTCCTTGAATGTGAATGTGATACAGAAATTGTGAATCCAACCGCTTTTGTACATTTGTTTCTTATATGTATGTTAAATCTAATGCAGTTTCTCGACAAGTTTTAAGTTTTTCGACATATTCAATAAAAAAGCCTTTTTTTTTCATTTGGGAGCTCTGATGGAATTTAAGCTGTCTATAAAAATTATACATTTTGGTTTCAATACAATTGATTTGAAGCCATTTCTCTTTGACCAATTTTATTTTGCCATTATTTTTTACTAATCAAACATGCTTAAGAACGCTTGCGAAACTCACATCATGTGCATAGTTTTAGAAATTAATCTAAAACAAATTTAAACCTCTGACGTAACGGATAAAAAAACTTTTACCGAGCTCAAGTTAGAAACCAGACAAGCGAGTAGGAAGAGCATCACGATAAAGTACTTAACACAAGCCACTAGACCGGAATTCCGAACAACCCTCCTACCACTTGAATAAGTTCTGGAGCTGGAGAAGTCCTTTCTATGCGCTTGCATGAGGACCCTTCGGGGCTCTACTTCCTTGTGATTGTGCCGACTTGTCGACTGGGTCTCATTATTTGCATGTGTTTGTGTTAGTTTGTTCATGGATAGTTCAAGGGTTCTCCGGAATCCTTGGTACCTGTCTCTTTGTCACAGGCGTTCGACCTTGTCCCTTCGGGCTTCGGAAGTAAACCAGGACTCCGCTCACCGTCTCTTCTTCTCATTATCGGGAGCCCCGGCTTGGATTGGCAGCTGCCCCGAGCCGTCCTTCGGTTCCTTAATAAGCTGCTCCGAAGGTTTTTCTTATTTTCAATTTGTTGGAACTGTAAGGGACGTGGGAACCCAAGGTGACCTCTGCTATCTTAGATCAGCATTAGTTACAGTTAGCATCAACAGTGGCCGTGGTGGATTTAATTCTGGTTTTTTTTTTTGTTCATTAAAATAGAAAGAAAAAAAAAAGATCACCTATTTTTGTGCATCCAGTAAAATTGATATATCAAAAAAATGGTAGACTTGAATTACTGGACTAAGTTTCCATTCTAATTGGCAACGAATGATTTAGTGACATAAATGAATACATTTTATATGTCTTTTATTACTTTTCAGCGGTTTGATAGATGAACGAATATATGTCATACTTATAATTATTTAATTTATATTGTGGCTTTAATGTTTATTTTTATTTAAAATTGTATGTTTTATATTTGTCATTTTGCTAAGAAACTTTACACCGGGCACACCTAAAAAACTTTACTTTCTAGCAGAGTACTAAAGCCAAAGACCCTTCACGTTTTTTTTTTAATGCAAATCATCATAATCATAGTTTTACAAATTAACTTCCTGGTCTTGAAAGAAGTTAAATAAAGCAAAAACGTAAACAAATTAACCTAATACTTAATCTATCTATTTCCATTAAAAAAAAAATCTATTAAACTAACTAACATTGGACCTCCTCAAAAATCTTTACCATCCCCTCTGGAAATCTTCTGCATTCTCTTACCCCAGAAGATGTAGGTAGGTCTATGTCATCACAGGTCCTGAAGTTCCGTGTCTGTTTTTACTCTATATGCGTTTTTGACTTTGATAGGGTCATATATTTTCCCGAAATTTCCCTGTCCCGTGTATTAAGATGACTCTCCTACCGCTTTGCTAGAATCCATGTCTAACTGGCACACATCAGTACTGGTCATAAGGAAATATATATATTTTTTTTTCTTTTTTTTGTTGTTTGTTTATTGACTAATGTAAGTACAATAATAGAAAATATTCCTATATAATAATTCTATATATAAATTAGATTCCCGGACTTTTATACACTCAACAGCTACAGTACAATATAATCTATATTAACAAATACGTAAAATAATATAACACAAGAGAGACACTAAAAACATAAGATTTAAATAAGAAAGAAGAACAATACAAATAATAAATAAAACATTTATAAATATTTATAAAACAATATAGGGAGTGGTGCAGCTCAGTGGTAGGATACTGAGCTTCCAATGCTAAAGGTCCCTGGTTCGAACCCCGGCTCATGGCAGAAAATTTATTTATCTGTTTCATTGGCCGTGGGGCGACCTTGGGTCGAAGACCCTCCTGGGGCACATTCAGCCTCTATAAAGTGGGTATCCTTAATTAAATAATTAATTAAGACCTGGCGGTTGACCTAGAAACAGTGCTTTTCCTAAATAGTACTGAACCCAAGATCCTTCATGGGTTGTAGTAGTACAGATTTTATAAAACAACATGTTCTGAAATCATATGATTATAATTTAATAAGTAAGTTTTCTCGGAAATAATTGGCAATTTCCCTATATGTTTATGTATAATGATTTCAAATGATTTGAAAACATCTATTTTTAGTTTATATAAAATAAACCTCTATTGTCAATGCATGTAGAAATAATGTTTTTTTTTTATAATTTGATTCATGAGTTCTCTTGATATCCGTCATATCAAAGTAAATCAGGTAAATAAAGGTTACCTATATCCGATTGATATAGATAACCTTTATTCGCATTTATTTAGCAACAAATTCATTTTGTAATTATTAATAGTTTTTATCCATGTGTTGGACCATGCAGAGCAGTAAGAAGAGTTTATGATGTACTATATCTAATATAAATTTACAACTATATATTTATTGTAATAATTATTTGATATTTACGACAAACAACTTTATTATGATCGTTAATTTTTAGTAAGTTCCTTATTTGATTTTAATATTAATGAAATTGAGATTAAGGTGTTAATCAAACTATAAAAAGATAATTTTAAAAACCAATTTTAATTAAAACATATTGTGGGAATATTATGATCTCATTAAAACCTTTATATGGATCGTTTGATATTAATAATTTAAATCATACTTATGCAGTTAATGAATAATGTGTTCATAAATATTAAAGGAAATCGTATTGTATATTTCCTAATTTCGTAATAACATTAATTCGAACCATTTCGGTTGTTAAGTAATCCAGAGCGCATATCTTCCCAAGAGAGCTGAGACCTTTCTTAAGGTTACGAAGCGCAATTAATGAAGTTATCAGAGCATGTTTACAGCCCCATTGAGGGACTGTTACCTCCGGCTCAGTTGAGTAATGAATGAGCTAACCTTAGGGAATAATGGGCGAAGATATCCTCCATATCTCGAGAGAATAGAAGACATCTTTCGAAAGCTTCTTTACCTAAAGGTTTTCTGTGCCAAAAGGGCGTATCGCTGAAGGAGATTCGTCACAGAGAGCAGCGGTTAATGGGAGTAATCACCATCGGTTAAAAGGATTGCTGGATAGACTCTATCCAAGAAAAATGTATCCTATGTCTAAATATAAGTGGAACTGATAGTATCTGACTCGTACTAGAACCTTTTTTATATTTTTTATATTTATTTTTTGGGTATTACAACAATCTGCCTCTTGCACATTAGTAGGATAACATTCACACTATATGTACAAAAAATATAAAATAAATTGAAGCAAAATAATAATCAAAAGTATATACAATAAATAATAAAATAAAATAACCTAAAAATAAGAAAATTAAAACTAAGCAAAAAACACATGCATACCTATATACACTATTTAAAATCTGGCGAGGGAACTCCAGGAAAATCCTGCGTACTAAAGCCAGCGGAGATTGATCGAGAGCACGTACTAAAACCTAAACCAAATCTATGTATATTTATTTACACTAATATTAATAAAGAACTAATACATCATGCCACACCTAAAAGCAATAAGTATTAAAGCTAAGTTTGATATATCCATACTATATATACAAGGCAATAAGTAAAAACCAAGAAAAAAATATAGCCGAAACAAAAGAAAAATTTTGAAACATTTAAATAAAATATTTTATGAAATCATAAGACGCATTCTTATTTATTTAAAATATCATATATAGTCAACCTAGGGTGCTTCTAGTCGGGTTCTTCCACAATTTGTGAGGACAAGGCAAGACTTTTTTTTTTGTTAATATTGTTTTATTATTAATTATAAATAAATAAAAAAATATTTTGTTATTAATTTGAATTAATTAATACATTTTTTAAATATAATACATATATACAAAACTGATAACTAATACTAATACTCCTATCTAAAAAATTACAGTAATATCTCTATAGCAATAAGTTAATAAGTAACTGCAAGACTGTTGCGAGAATTTTGCGCAAGACCAAGACCATGACCAAGACTGAGTTTGCAAGACCAAGACTCCCTCTCGGTCTCGCATTTGGGCAACACTAGCAGGAGGTATAGGTTATAGCAGTCTATAAACTGCATCCTGCAGTGCCAAATGCCACGCCGTGATGAAGACCTGCAAGGTGGGTCTAAACGTCGGCTTAATAATTAAAAATACTATTTTTTAAAATTTAGTATTTATTAGACTGCACCTCTCCCCCGACCAACTCCTTCTCATAACATATCACGGTCAACTATCTCTATATCATTATAAAAATTATTATATTCCAACGGGAAGTATCTGTTTCAATTATAAATTAATTACTTGTATAAATTACTCAAATTGTCAATATTATTTTGCATTATAGGTAAGTTAAGACAGGCATACCAAGGAGATATTTATTTAAAAATCAATCTTTAAACCAGATTTAATAATTTTATGAGTTGTACAAAATTTCAAGTTATTAGATAATGGTTTATCTAGCCTAATTCTGTTTTAGCTGGAAATTTTTTTTCTTTATTCACAAACATAAATTATAAAATTTATACAAATCAAAATTTTATAAATAGATTAATTATCTTTTAAGCAAATAGTTTAAATTTTTAAATATATTACGTCAATGAATATTGAATAGCTTATTTGACAAAAACTATCGATAATATGTCGATATCGGATATAATCAGACAGGTATTACTTGCGACAATTGTTCTCCTCCAAATAGTAAACCTTGCGACAGACGTTTACGCCACCTGCGGCTGGCTCCACTGTTTTCAGTCGCATTGTTTTTTTACCGCTGCAAGCATGAAAACAACAAAAATACTTTTTAGGGTTGGTCTTTGGTCTACGATGAAGAATAATTGAAAGCTATTTATATTGTCTCTTTGTATCGCCGGCAGTCGAGTCTTTATGAAGCCAATTGTGGTTGCCCTAGTGTTGGCAACCCATTGTCCAAGGAGGTTTTAAATCGTAACTGCAGTTCATTCTCTTTGCTGTTTCAACAAAGATCCTTTGCAAATAAAATATTGGTCAACAGAACTATGTGTCCGCCTGTTTAAAATTAAAAAATGTTTTTATATTTCATAATTCTACTGCATTTTCATTTATTTACATTATACTTGCAACTGCATTTGAACGCATTCAGAACATGTGCTGTCGTTCGTTTTTCCTGCTCTTTCTGAAATTTATTTATATTGTGAGCAGATCTCGAGGCCTCTACCGTTTTAGTCTTCCTTGAGGCTTCCCAGGTGATAGGGAAGAAGAAAGTGACATGACAAGTGGATTAAGGTGATTAATAGTTAAAATGTGGAATGTGGTGTATTTGTTATGTGAGTTGAAATATACTTGAATGCATTTACGATTTTTCAAAGTATTTTGGACAGTGCATTAAGTTATGCATTTGATGTGTATACAGTATTGGACAAGGGGTGAGTGATGTGCAGAAAGAAATTTAAAGGGATACTTACACATTTTATATGGGATTGAATTGGTCTATTACCCAAAACCTTGAAGAGTTATTTTTATTAATGTAGTGAAATTAATTATCTTATATTAGTGAGGGCAGACGGAGAGACCGGATCAGAAATGAAAAAAAAGACACGTAGCTTCTCATAAGATTCGTAGAAAGAGCAGCAGAGATGTTCGGCTGTATGGCGAACGAATGAGCCGATCACAATTCAGGAGGAGACTTAGAAGTGCCAAGAACCATGTACGTGATGGTACATCTCAGATCGGGAAATAGGTATGACGATAGGTATCAGGGCTCTAGCTCGGGACCGAAATACTTAGGATGCATGGATCGAGGCACCTCCACGCTGAAAGGCACAAAGGAGGTAGATAAAGAAGAAGAAGAAGGGCGTGTTTTGCGGAACCCCAAAGTTGCACTTCGTATGTCGTAGTGTGGTGGCGTAGATTAATTAATTGCTTGTTTTGTAAGTTGAGAGCAAATCTGTAGTCCAAAAGATGTGACAGTATTCTGGTCAGTTCTTGTTTGTTTTAATTTGGTGTGTATGTTCGAGGTGAGTTTTTGTCCGCTGGCTTTTCATTTTCAAATTCTAGTTCTTTCATATTCGATACCTCTTGCTTCCTTTCTTCATATTCCTAATCCTCCGTTATCTTTGCTGAAAAAGTTATTCTGGTAATTCATAAGAAATGAGCCAAATAAACAAAATATAATTCATTTTATTTATTATTTATAATTACATTAACAATTATTTCATTTTAAAACTAAAAAGGATTTGACTGTATCAAAAAATGTCCCATATATGATTTCTAATCATTATATTCAGAAGGTGTATTAAATTTAGGGAGAGAGTGCAGTTTGGCAGGTTCTCATTCGTGAAAGTGAATCAGTTCATATACCAGGGGACACAAGTGAACTCAGTCCACGACACTACCGTCGAAGCAAAGAGCTGCTACTAACTGTTTTTTGTTGTTGTTGTTTTTTGGTCTAAGACCTCAGCTAAGAAGCAATCTTATCACTATAACTGCGAAGCTGATCCTGTAAAAGGTATTAATACAATCTGTGTTTACATATTTCCGAAGTTGATGACGAAAGGTGTAATGCATGCTTTGTAAATATTTGAAATACGGATTCTACGTTGCATCTATGGTGGGAGCCGAGTCGGGAATGAGTGTGGTAAATGCTAATAAGCAATAATTATACGACCCAACGACTGATCCATACGTAGTAATGGTCGTCAAGTTTGGAAGACTGTGGTGGACAGGTCATGGAACCAAGATGGATGACAAAGCAATTCCGAAGATTTTTACTAGGATGCATAAAACACTACGAGGTGGATGGTCATGCTAAAGCAGGATAGTGTGGCTCACGATGCAAGATACCTTCTTGGAACTCAAAACTGGAAAGTGGATGCACAAGACCGACACACCTGACGTAGGCTGATCCAGGATGACATTAATTGCTATCGGGTTGTAGAGCCGAAGAATAATAATAATACGAATTGTATTTCAAATTGTTTATTTTCCTTTAAAAGAAAGTGGGGTAGCTCAGTGGTTGGGCAATGATCTTCCAATACTCAAGGTCTGAAGTTCGGGTCCCGGCTTATGGCAGAAAAATTATTTATTGTGTTCCATCAGCCGTGGGACGACCCTGCAGTGAGAAGACTCTCCTGCGCCATACCCAGCTTTTCAATATAGTGGTACTCTTAATTAAATAATTAATCAAGGGTAGAAACCTGGCGGTTGAGCGTCATTTCAGTCAGATCACCTCCTTGCCCAACCGTTGACTAAAAAACAGTACATTCCCTAAATAGTACTGAACCCAACACCCTTCATGGGTTGTTTTACGTTTATTTTCTTGCCCCGATCACCTCCCTGCCAATTATCGGCCTATAAACTGTACTTTCTTACAAAGCAATGAACTCAAGACACTTCTTCATCGGATTTGCTTTTTCAGTTTTCTTAGTGTTGCTGTTGTTATGTGATGGTGGTAACCCCTAATTCAGGATTTTTTAATTTATCATTTTCTTAAGCAAATTGAATGTAATGTAGGCAGGTAGATACGCCTACATCTATCTCTGATTTATTATGTTAATAAATTGAATCACTTTCAATCTTTTATCTCCGGAACGGGTTGGAAATACAAACTCTATCACTTTACTCACCTAACATGGACTGCTATTACAGCACGCGTAACTCTGATGCGATTATTATCTGATATAATATGGAGCTGTAGTCCATCCTATTCGGATAACTTATGATCATGCAGATTAGATTCCATTGCCGATGAGATAGTGGGATTGCGATCCATGTTTGCATGCAATAGGTCACCACCGAATAGAGATGATAACAATATTGGTATGAACTTTGTAACGCCTGAAATACTATGTCTTAGCAGGATATTCCGTGCCGAGAACTTCAGAGATTGCTCCATTGACGTCTGTTATACTGAAAGTAGCCAACTGTCTAAGCTCCCAAGAACAAAGTAGTTCAAAAGGTCATCTCTCATCGTGCAATAAATGGCCCAAG